CAAACTTTTTTGAGTCGATTTGATGTTAGCCCAACTTGTTTTCGAACAAATCAAGTTGAATTAACATGACTCATCTAATCCAAACGGATCAGGTGGATTAATATGGTAACTTTGACTCATTATGATATAATCACTAAATGATCAACCTGTAATTAATTGATACGATATAACCAGTCGATACTAATCATGTTCTTATATAATCGACACAACTAGTGAAACTTGACACATATGCATTACTTTGACTTTAGATAAATATGATTTTATATTGGTAAAAAATATTAACAAGTTGAGATTACAAAACTTTATTATTACGGAGTAATACCTATTTAAGAATATATTTTAGGATAAAATTTTATTTTTATACGTTACTAAAAAACGATGGTCAAAATTAGCACACATATAGTGAAAAAAGTCAAACATGTTATCTTTACCCAATTGATGAATGACTCGTTATGACTCGATCCGTCAAGGGTAAGCTCGTAATTGACTCGTTAGGACTCGATCCATCTAGGGTAAGCCCGTAATTGATACAGTATTTCAAGTTGACAACTCTTCCTATAATTAATAGTCAATTACTCATTCATTATTACACACTTATTCGTCTAACCATCACTAATCATACTTTATTTAAGAAAATACACTCCATAGCTAACATATAGAGTATAATTTTTTTGACATAACATAGATTATAATTGATAATAACATATTTTTAAGCTCATGATTATCAATAAATCTAATCATGATTTAATAATGTATGTTCCCCTCACAAAATACTTCATATTATATTATTATTAGGAATAATACACTTTAATAATCCCAACTTTGCCCAATTTACTCTAAATAATCCCAACTTTTGATTATTCTGCAATAATCCCAACTTTAGGGTGCATTTTCTTTCTTCGGTCTGGATTACCGGTTACTTGAAGAAAGGGTTAAAAAAATTTTAAACCATTTATTTGATACGCGTTGCATGCTAATTGGTTCACCAAAATATAAATAAATTAATTAAAATAAAATAAAATAACAGAATCCACCCCCCCCCACGTTTCTCAACACAACCAAACCCCAACCCCAACCCAAAAGATCCGGCCACCCAATCACTGACGTCGGTCAGCGGGCCGCCCCCACTACCTCACCCCTCTCTCCCCCACGCCGGTAAACAACCGCAGCCCCTCGATCTCCCATTCAGCCATTCCCCAAACGCACATCCAACTCCCAGCACTCCCACCTCGCAACCACAATTCGCGCAACAAACAGCATAGATTGTTTGGTATCATCTTGCGTGGAGTAGATTAAAGATAGCAGCTTGTAGATTGAGGAAGAAACAAAGACAAGTAAGTTTTGCAACTCGACTCAACTAGCTATTTTAATTTCAATGTTAGGCTAAGTCTTAGTAGGTTTGCAAAGTTAGAGAATTTTTTTTTTCATCAAATTAGATTAGTATGTTTATGGTTTAATTGGTTTGATAATCTAAATTAATAAAGAAGAAAAACAATCTTATAGTGGGATAACATAGGTAGATGATCCTTAAATGTTGACAACCTCTAGGTAATGGTTGTATATAATATTGCGTACTTGCTTTATAATGTGATGTACGGATAATATAATTTCTTCATTCTATTATTCGTTAGGTGCTTGTTGCAATTCTCTTTGGATGTATCATATGTATAATAGAATCTGATGTTTAATGACTATAATATGATATATATATATATATATATATATATATATATATATATATATATATATATATATATATATATATATATATATATATATATGGGATTGCTAGGTGCTTGTTACCATCAGTAATCTGATATATACTTTTTCCTTTTTCATCAGTAACATGCAACCCTTACTTTATCCCCAATATTGTATGAATTGTTGTTGTTATAAAAATTGAATATGCATTTTTATTGCAGCAAGTTTGTCTTCTTATTTTGTTTTAGCCAGTTCAAGAATTCATGTCAATATTTGTCTCTTAGTTTATTACCTTTGTTTTTGATCCTCCATATAACTTCTTATGTTATAGAGTATTATAATGGCAAACATCAACAAAGATTAGATTGATGCACCCCACAGTGCCGAAGAATATATCAAAGGAGTTGAGAATTTTCTAGATTTTGCATTTCTTAATTTAACCATGGACACAGAGGAAGATGATGAACCGGAAATTTTATTTCCATGAATGAAGTGTGATAACAGATTCTGGTTCCCAAGGGAGGAGGTTTTCAATCACCTAATTGCTAACAGATTTAATAAGAGGTATAAAGTTTGGAACTTTCATGGCGAAGGATTGACAACAGGGTCTTCTTCAAGGGGAGATGGGCATCAGTGTGATAATTGAAACACATTAGACAATATGGATGAGATGATTAATGATATTTTCAGAGATGTTATAGGAGGTTCAAGCTCCGAAGCAAAAGAACTTCGAAAGGGTCCTGATGAGAGTGCTAAAAAGTTTTATAAATTATTAGAGGATGCACGAGAGGAATTATATCTAGGCTGTAAGGACTTTTCTATGCTTTCATACACAATGCAACTCTATCTACTTAAATGCCTTAACGGGTGGAGCGATTCTTCTTTCGATGGGTTGATGAAGCTTTAATGTGCTGCCTTTCCATTTGCAAAGCTTCCCACTTCTTTTCATCATGCTAAAAAAATGGTGAAGAACCTTGGACTTATTTACAAACGGATTGATGTGTGTCCTAATGATTGTATGTTGTATTGGAAAGAACGTGCAAATGACAAGTCTTGCCATGTTTGTAAAGCTTCTAGGTGGAAGTTAAATGAGAAGCAAAAAGAGGAAGGTGCATTGCCTGACGAAGGAGTTCCTGCAAAAGTTATGCGTTACTTTCCTCTTAAACCTCGTCTACAAAAGCTGTTCATGTGCTCTAAGACGGCTGAATTCATGACATGGCATGAAACTAATCGCAAGAAAGATGACAAATTAAGGCATCCTGCTGATGGACAAGCTTGGAAAGATTTCGATGTTGCACATCCTCAATTTGCAAGTGATTTTCAAAATGTGAGGCTGGGTCTTACTGCTGATGGTTTCAACCCATTCAGAACTATGAGTGTGTCATATAGTATTTGGCATATTGTTTTATCCATTTATAATTTGCCTCCTTAGTTATATAATAAGCCCGAGTACAACATCATGTCTTTGATTATACCTGGTCCTTCTTCTACAGGTTACGACATTGATGTTTACTTGCAACCATTAATCGAGGAATTGAAGGAGTTATGGGAAGTTGGAGTTGAGACATATGATGCTGTGAAAGATGAAACATTTTCTTTAAAGGCAGCCTTGCTATGGACAATCAATGACTTCCCTACTTATGCAATGTTGTCTGGATGGAGCACCAAAGGAGAATTTTCCTGCCCGAATTGCAATCATAAGACTTGGTCCAAATACCTGAAGTGTAGCAAGAAAATGTGTTACATGGGACATCGTAACTCTATGAAAGAAAATCATCCATGGTGTTGTAATAAGAGAGCTTTTGATGGTAATGTAGAGACAAGGCCTCCTCCTCCTGCTAGATTCTCAGGTTCTGAGGTATTAAAAGATTTAGAAGGGTTTGAAAATAAGTGTGGGAAAACTCAAAAGAAGGGCAAAAAGAAATTTCCTTGGAAGAAGAAATCAATTTTCTTTGAGCTTCCAAACTAATACCTTGCATCATAATCTTGATGTTATGCACATTGAGAAAAGTATTTGTGACAGTGTGCTCGGTACTTTGCTTAATATCCCAGGAAAGACTAAGGACCATGTGGCAGCCCGCTTTGATTTACAAGATATGGGTATAAGAAATGAACTCCATCCAAAGACAACAATTAATAGAGGGAAGAGTTATACTCCAAAGCCTGTTTTTCTTTATCTTCTAGTGAAAAAAACTTGTTCTACAGTGTGATAAAAGGTGCTAAGTTTCCTGATGATTGTGCATCAAACATCTCCAGATGTGTCCAATCCAACGAGAGGAAAGTTGCTGGTTACAAGAGCTATGATGCCCACTTTATGCTTCATTATTTGCTCCAAGTTGCTATAAAGAATACCGTGCCTAAGCAAGTAGCATCGACTTTGATTAGGCTAGGATCCTTTTTTAGGGGTCTATGTTGGAAAGTTCTAAAGCCTAAAGATCTTGACGATCTTGAATATGAAATCATAGAGATACTTTGCCAACTTGTGAAGATATTCCCCCCAGTTTCTTTGACATAATGGTCCACCTTCCACTCCGTCTTGTAGGGGAGGTCAGGCTTGGGGGCCCTGCTCAAAGTCGTTGGATGTATCCGAAAGAGCGGTGTTTAAGTAAATTGAAGTCATATGTAAAAAATAGAAGTCGACCCAAAGGTTCCATTGTAGAGGCCTACTTGGCAGAAGAATGCCTTATTTTTTGTTCTCGGTATCTTCACGATGAATTTAGTTCAAAGTTGAATCGAGCACCTAGAAATGATGATGATGGTATTGCATCCAATGAAGATGGAAGAGTTTTTCCTAATGTTGGACGTCCTTTAAGTGTAAAAAAGAAAAATAAAGGCAAAAAGGTTTCTTTAGATGAAGACACTTTGATCAAAGCTCATCGCTATGTACTCTTTAATTGTGATGAAATAAGTGATTACATAAGGTCATAAAGTAAATTTAAATTGGTATTATTTTATATTAACTGCATTTAGTTTTTATTATTTATAATTAACTAATACAACTAAGTTGCTTTGTCATATGTATGTAGTGAACATCAAGATTTAGTGAATCGTCAAAGAAGTTAAGGTAGACGGGGAATGGGTGGGAGAGAGCACAAGAACACAGTCATGATATTAGAGTATGGTTCAAGGACCATGTACGGGAAGAAAATGTTTCCAAAGAAATCAAGGCTTTATCCCAAGGTCCTGACTATACTGTGAGAAGTTTTAAAGGGTACCTAATAAATGGTAACAAATTTTATACAACTTCACATGAGTCAAAAAGGAAAACTCAATGTAGTGGAGTTAGTGTAACATCTTCAATGTCGAGTTTTGCAAGTTCCAAGGATCAAAATCTTGTTGTTGGGGACGTCAAATATTATGGAGTAGTGGAGGATATCATTGAGTTAGATTATTTTCGATATTTCAAAGTGGTATTGTTTCGCTGTAACTGATTTCAAGTGGAGCAAGATGAGTTTGGGTTAACATGAGCAAATTTTAAAAGGTTATGCTATACTAATGACCCTTTTGTGATGGTTAATCAAGTAAACTAAGTTTTTTATGTGCAAGATTCCAAAGAAAAGCATTTGCATTATGTTATGGAAACTATCCCCGGAGACTTCTTTGATATGAGTGAAGAATCAAATGGTGATATTGGAGTTTCTTATTGGAATGAATCTGCTAGCGATGGTGTTCGCCCAGGGGCAACTGTTGCTGATGACTATGATGTTAGTTGGTTGAGAGAGGACTTGCCTACCACTAATGTTGACATTCCAGAATACATGTTAGAAATGCAAGCAAAGTCGGAAATTGATGATTCGGATGATAAAATCGAGGACAATACTCTATGGGATTTCATGCAAGTAAGCGAAGATGAAGCTTAGGAAATATGATTGGTCCTTTCTAGTATTATGTTTTTAGTAACTTTGAAGTGATAAAAGCTTAGGGATTTTAGCTTAAACAGTTTTGGTTTTGTTTAACTGCAAAATTATTTGTTTTAATGATCAAAAGTTTCATTTTTTTTTTTTTGGTTTTGTTTTGGGATTATTTGATAAACTCATGAAGCTTAATTTGTTTGTTTCAGATTAGAATCAGTCAATTGCCCAAATCAAATAAATATGAAGTTCTAGTAGTTATATCTCATCTTAGCCTAGGTTGCCTGGCTCAAAGCTTCTTGCTTTCTTGACTGAACTGTACGTTATTGATTTCACCCCTTTTATGTCTCACAGGCTTGCAATCGTTACGGGGTTTCAGAAACTGCTTTTGGTGTTGGTATGACCTCTTAAACTAGCTTCTGTACTTTGCATGTAATGCTAGTAGATCAGCTTATGACTGTTTGGAGGAGATGTTAAGAGTTTTCTATTATCCAGCTACACGCAATAGCATGTAGCCACTAGCCTGGAAAGCTATAGCCATCTGCCAGCTCTGGCAGCAGGCAGTGGCTATTTTAGCTTAGAGCGAGAATTCCTAACTAGTTCCTATTCTCCTATTTTTGCTGCCTGCTGTGTTTGCTTGGGAGTGGTCTGTTTCTGTTATGATGTGCTTGCTGTGAGGTTGATTCTGTTGAGCTGTGCAGGTCCTCGTTTCTTTGTTGGTTTGGCTGGCTATGCTTGTAGCTGCTTTCCTACTCAGCTGTTTGCTGTTGTTATTTTTGTCCTGTTCTGGTGCAGGTCTGGTTTCTCTCGCTTTCCTGTACTGCTAGGAGCTGCTAGTGTGCTGCAGGTCTGGCTTCTCTTGTTCTCTGGTCTGCTGGGAGCTGCTGTTCTCACTGTTGTGGTTCTTTGTTGCTGGATTGCAGGTTGTCTTCAGGAAGGTTTTTGTTTATTTAGAGGTCTTGCTGTTGCTTTTAGCTGTCTAGTTTGTGTTGTTGTTTGGTTGTTCTGTGGTCTGTCCTGGTCCTCGTTGAAAGGAATGGTGTCCTTCCAACAAGTGTATTCTTCCGATAGAGGGTTCAGAATTATTACAGAGTTAATTCTTCAATAAGATCAAGTGATCGGAATGCCTAGGTGGAGGCCGCTTCCGATCAATAATATCGAGGTACAATTGATATTACAGCTTAATCTTAACTGAACCCTTCGGGTCGAACCCAATAGAATCACCGATCGGAGACGACGAATTAATCCAAAAGGATTTAATGAGTCGACAGAGTTTTACGAATACATACGTCGGATATCGAGCCTCGGGCGTCGAGGCCGAGCGTCGCAAAATCACAAGCGACAAGTACGAGCGTAGCCGTAGCACCACAATGGTCTATCCATGTGGATGCTAGGCTAGTTCCATCTAGCATGCACCTAGCATGGCTAGGCGTAAGCCTAAGCACACTAGGTGTGCTAGGCGCACCATCGCAGCCTAGGCGCACCATCGCTGACATATCGCAAGCGCTAGGCGCACCAGGAGCACTTGGCAGCCTATTGCAAGCACCAGGCGCACCATCGCTGGCACTAGGTGCTGGCGTGCGTGCGTGCCTAGCATGGCAGCACCATCGCTAGCACCAAGTACTAGCATGGGTGCTTGCCTAACATTGGCTCAGCATGCGTGCTGGCTTGCGTGCTAGCCTTCGCATGGCAGCACCAAGTAGTGCACCATGCATGTGCGAGGGCCTGGGCGCCAGCACATTACTAGGCCACACACAGCAACCCAGCATCGCTACGCACCCAGCGTGCTAGGGGATGCGTGGGTGTGCGTGAGATGCTAGTGCATGTGCGTGTGCGAGAGGTGCAGCGAGGGAAGTGAGTGCATGTGCGAGGGTGGTGTGTATGGCTGGCAAGGCAAGGGGCCAGCATGTGTGGCTCGCTAGCAGCACGCATGCTGGCTATGCGAGCATGTGCGAGAGAGGCGAGGGCCAGCACCTGCGCCAACATGCACCAACGCCTAGCACTGGCACGCACCAACGCCTAGCACTGGCACGCACCAACGCCAAGCATCGCCCAGCACCAAGAATGCACTGCCTGGCTGGGATGCGAAGGCTGGTGGGTGGGCTGGTGCTGGCTGGCTGGGCTAGCTGGCACTGCTAGCTGGCGTGCTAGCTGGCAGCAGCCCAGCAGCCTATGCTTAAGGCGGTTTTGTGAGGGGTGGGGACCAAGGCTTGGGAAAAGCCTTGGGGAGAAAGGCAATGGTCCCCCCCCCACCTCTTCATGGTCCTCACCTAACCTTCTCTCTCCCCTTGACACTTGTTGCATTGTGATTGAATATTATTATTAATTTATTTTAGAAGTAAATTAATTATCAAATTATTCATTATCCCACATTGGTTGGGGAATGAAGTTCAAGGGTGCATTTCCCTATAAATACCAAAGGCATGGTATTGGGAAATACACAACCTTGAGTGGAATTAAAAAGGCAACTCTTGTAATTAGAGTAAACCTTTGATTCGTAAAACTCATAGTTTTATTTTGTCCGGGTCTTGACTAACCTTCAAGACTTGGGACGCTCGGGTCGGGTCGAGGGTACGATCCGTCGGAGATCTCGTAGTTTCGGGATTTTGAAGTAAGAGCTCTTCGGGAGCGAAGCACGCAACAAAGGTATAATTATTGTTCTTAGTCTTGTTTGATTAAGTTTATTATGCTTGTTAATTTCTTTAATTAAGGGGCGGGTATTGGGGGGTTTCTTTCCGCGTAGTGTCGGGTTGATTAAAATCCATCAAGTTCAAATACTTGTGAGTAAAATTTGATTAATCTTGATATTGGAAGATGTAATCTTGGTATTTTACATAAGTATGAAAGTTGGAAAAATTTTCATTAGATGATTAGTTTATTTTTCCAATCCCCATTTGTCAAATCCATTATTAATTTGCATATTGGATAGATTAATTATGGACATAGCTCATTTTATTTCAAGCATAAAGAAAGACCTAATTTTGTTCAAAATAAATTTTTTTGGATAATTTAGGCTTGTGCACCAATAAAAAAAAAAGTTTATTTAAGTCTTATTTTATTTTATTTTATTTTTTCCTCAAATTAATTCTAAAATGTAATTTAGAATTAAATTTTGTCACACACAAATCGGAATTAAATTTCGAGAAATGGCACGCAAATCAAGGTAAAAACACCCAAGCGCCACCAAGGCTAGCCGGGCTGCCTAGCAGCCCACTGTGGCTGCCTATGGTGCGCACAAGGGTGTGCCATGATGATGCTGTGCGCTGCTGTGTGGCGGGGAGGCTTGGGGCTGAGTGCGTGGAGCAGTGGCAAGGGGCTGGCTTGCGAGGGGATGCTGCTGGGCAGCATGGCAGCAAGCACTAGCCCAGCGCACCACTTGCTGGCAGGCGCCAACTTGCTACCCAGCATGCGTAGCATGCCTGGGAGGCTGCTGGTGCTAGCAGCGTGGCTTGCTGTGCTAGGCGCAGCATGCTAGCACCACGCACCACAGCATAAGGCATAGGCTGCCTAGCAGCCATGGTGCGCACCCACCAAGCTCTTGCGTGGGATTTTTGCTTGATTTTGAGCTATACGATTTTGCGAAAATTTTGTTGTTTTAATAATTTTAAGTAATTATTTTAACGAGGTTAGAACCTCGATTTTCGGTTTTGCAAAATTTGACAAATTTTGGGTTATGCCGACTTAATTAATTAGATTAATTAAGTATGTATGCGGAATTTAGTGGGAGCTTAATTAATTGTGTGAGCATTTTGCGTTTAGAAATAATGGATTAAACAACTTTGACTAGTTTTAATTAGGCGCGTTAATCAGATTAACCACCTAAGTTAGTTACTAGTTTTGTGTGTTTAATTATGTATTTCGTAAAATTGCATGGGCCATTCACAAATAGTGAATGGGTGAATGGAAGATTATTATTCAAAACAGGTCTTTGAAAATGGCAACTAGTGGGGCCTGACTAGGATAGAAAATACGGACTGCGTTCCGTTATGTATTTTTGTAAATCTAAATACGGTCTGCTAACCGTTAAGTATTTTTGTACTATTAGATTAATCTTAGTCGTTCTAGCTAGCTTATTTTATTTTGGCCAAGATGTCTCAAGACGGCGTTTCGATGAAGACGAGCCAAGATGAAGACCCATGGAAATTGAAGATTTCAAGGGGTCATGCTAGTTGCCAAATGCATGATTTTATGCTTTATATATATATATATATATATATATATATTTTGTTATTATATATGATTGCTAGATGCATGTCTAGGATTTCTATATGTTGCAACGATTAGTTAATTTCACTTAAATCAACCAACATAGAAACCCTAGGTCCCTTAATAATATTAAGCTAAAATTTCTCGTTCCAAGAACAACACTTACCGAACTAATGCACGTACGTGATGGACTACGCCAAAGCGAGACATCACTACTTCCCAAGGAACGTAAGGTATACGAGGTATACGAGTTGTCTTGGTTAAGCTCAACGATATTAGTAAGGAGTCCTTAGATGTCGTTGCAAAAGAGATAAAATGTCAAGGATGCATTAGATGCGACATTTTATCAAACCGAGAGTAGCTTGGAGCTATTAGCAATAAGATTTCTTACCTTAAGATATTTAATGATTAAGACAAGCCAAAGCATGCTTAACCATTTCTTGATCTTTGGGATCTCGGAATCATTTTATTCTCGCCCAAAAGGGACAATTTTATAAATGCGTGGATAAAATGCTCAATAAGATTGAAAATATGCATGAACGTTTTAAATTTCAACTTATTGATTTATGAATGGTTTTTTCACTTCAAATTCTTTCAATTGTAGAACCATGTCTGCAAGTAACTCAAACAACAACCAATTCTCTTTGCGCTCAATTCTCGACAAGGAGAAGTTGAGCGGGCCAAACTTTCTTGATTGGCAAAGAAATCTGCGCATTGTATTAATGCAAGAACAAAAGGAATATGTCCTTGATGAGGAAATGCCCAACGCTCCCAATGAGGAGGTCACTCAGGCTGCCCTTAATCGATGGAAAAGTGCCAATCGGGATATCAAATGCATTATGTTGGCCACTATGTCTCCGGACCTTCAAAAGACTTTCTTTGAAAAGGAGACGGCTTTTGAGATCATTTCTGAGCTTCAGAATATGTTTCAAGAGCAGGCCCAAATTGAAAGGTTCGAAACCCACAGGCAGATCCTTGAGAGCAAGCTCAAGAAAGGAGAGTCAGTCAGCCCGCATGTCCTCAAAATGATTGGATTATTTGAGAACATGGAAAGGCTTGATGCTGGGTATTCAATAGAGATGGCAATTGACATCATTCTCCACTCGCTTCACAAAGGCTATGATCAGTTCAAAATGAACTATAATATGCATAGTATGGAGAAAACCCTCACTGAGCTTCATGGTATGTTGAAGCAAGCCGAGCAAACCCTCAAGGATGAGGGCAAGCATGACATGCTCATGGTGAGGAAGGGCAAGCCATTGAAACGTCAGGGCAAAAAGAAGAGCTTTAAAGGGAAAAAGAAGAAGTTCCCGCCTAAGTCAAAATCTTCCAAGGGCAGCAAGGACAAAAAGGCAGCCTCTTCTAAATCTGATTCCGAATGTTTCTACTGCAAGAAGAAGGGACATTGGAAACGGGAATGCCTCAAATTCAAGGAAGATAAGAAGAACGACAATGTTGCTTCTTCATCAGGTATTTTCGTTATAGACTTAAACTTCGCTAGCAAAACATCGTGGGTATTAGATACCGGATGTGGCTCACACCTTTGTTCCAATGCTCAGGGACTAAGGATAAATAGGAGGCTAGAGAAGGGAGAGGTCGAGCTTCGGGTCAGCAATGGAGCATGGATGTCTGCCGTCTCCGTTGGAACTCTCAGTTTGTCTTTGCCCTTAGGGCTTATTCTAGAACTTGAAAACTGCTATCATGTTCCAAGAGTGATAAAAAACATTATTTCAATATCGGCGTTGGATGCCAAAGGATTCGAATTTCGACTCAAAAACCATAGTTGTTTTATTTATTTTGATAA